GACCAATGCGCGATCACTTTTCCGACCGACCTCCCGCGAACATGGCCATCTCGATCGACCATTTTTGCTGGGAAAAATCATTTTTTAGCGAGTCGAGGATCGATCTTACCGTTCCAAATTTTCGCCCGTTTTTCCGATACTCCGCCGGTCCTGTAAGCGAACGAACGGGAAAGGGAAGCCGTCCTGGCGGTCGGGGGCTTCGGGCTTCTTCGGCTCTCGACGGGAGGCGAGCGCGTCCCTCCTCGAGCACCTTCGGTCGCGTTCGGTCGTGCTCGGCCACGCTCGGCGGTCTTACGAGTCGACCGAAGCGAGAGTCCATCGCCGGGTGCGTTCGTTCGTCAGTCGAGCGGCGACGATGCGAGGTGACGTTGGGTCGGTCTCGAGCCGACGAGGTTCGCCGTCTCTCGGGTCGTGTGCAATGGTCGGCGGTCGTGGGAGGCGTACGCGCGGAGTGTTGCTCCGAATGCGACGACCAATGGCAGGGGGCAAGAATGGACTTCTCAAACGAGGACGTGGGCCTGACGATCTCGAAACGAAGCCTGGAACGCGATCACTGGAGTAAGTAGTTCTCATCGGTCAAGGGTCACCTCGTCTCTTTCATTTACATTCGTGAGTATAAAAACGGGAAACGAAAATTAGGCGATCGTAAGTACACTCGAGTACAAAGATCGGGGATCGTTATCCGGACCGAAGCAGCTCTTTTACCCGGGTAACGGGACGTTCGAGTTTCGATCGGCGAGGTTTCGTCATAATTTATTCGGTGAACGCCCGCCGAAACGTATACACGGGTTGCTTTCCACCGACTCGATCTCCATAAATACGGTATCGTTCGAAGCGGATCTCGGTCGATTCCGAATGCGGCGCGACAAAGGCAGAGGCCGCCAAAGGAAAATCGGGTCGAGTTTGCACGTGGCGTCGAGCGCCACCGACGACGGTCGAAGAGGAAACGTCCACCGAAAAAGCCAGGAATGGGAGAGGGGGGACGCCGTCGGGCCGACGAGGGGAGAAAAGCGGTTCGTAATATCTCGGGGTGGGTTTCGGCAGTTAAGGAGGGTCGCGGCCCGCCTCGCCTGGTAAAATATCGCGGCCGATCCACGGGAGAGCGCAGTCATTAGCGCGAACGAGCACCGACGAGGGACCCAGGTGCCGAGCCGAGCCGAGCCGAGTCGAGCCGAGCCGAGCCGAGTCAAACCGCGCGGGCATAATGCCTTTCGTTAATTATTACACCGGCCACGCTTAGGGGCTTAAAATTCGTCGTAAATATTCGGCGCCGCCCGCCAACCCGGTTTGGAATTGGCCGTCTTCCGCGCGTTTCCGACCGACCCGGAGTAGCCCGATAATGGCGATAGCGAAAGGTGGAAATCTTTGCTCGTTGATCCGCGGGAGCGCTTATCGAATCGCTCGAACGTGACGTTGCGATAAACGGCGCGGCGTTGCGGCCGGCTCGAGTCGCGACCGCCTTCCCTCGGTCGAGGCTTCCGACTTCGGGAAGAGATCGGGCTGCCGCCTCGACGGCGGAATCGATTCGCGCCGGTTCTCGTCCTTTGGAGTCTTTGTACCGCCGGGCGCGCGGATTCTTCCCCCGTTAATTGAGCAAATTAATGGAAGGTCCATTAACCGACTCGGGGGGGCGGAGCGGGGTGCCGTTTCGCGATGACAAATGAAATTTGGCCCTAGGTCTTTTTAACGCCGCCGGGCTCCCCTCCGTCGCCTTCGCTCCCCCGAGATATCGAATTAGCAACGTTCGAACGGCCGCCGGGAAAGCGAGATCGCGTCGTCTCGAGCCGAGCCGAGCCGAGCCGAGCCGAGCCGAGCTGGATGCCCGCGGAAGGGAGGCGCGAGCCCGCGACCGGTCCGTTCCCACGGGGGACTCCTCGACGCAGCCGGAGGGGGCGCCCGGGGTCTCGTTACGGCGGCCTTTCCGCCCCGGAGGGGCCGAAGAATTCGGGACGTAATGGGCGGAAAAGCTTCGGCCGACGGGACGTCGAGGCAGGTCGGGCCGTCGTCTCCTTAACCGGATTGAACGCGATGGGCGATCGCCTAAGTGCGCGCGGGGCGGGAGGGGGAGGGCAGCCGACTCGCGAGGAGGCGCGGACGCGCTCTCGACCGCGGCGGGGATTTTGCCGGAACGAAGTTAGAGTCCTAATTATCCTCGATCGACGGGAAAGCATATTCCTCTCGGTGATAGGTTTCGAGGTATTCGATTATCGTGCGTCGGCCACTCGATCGAATTATAACCCTGACAGTTATTTTCCGACTTTAATTCAAAATCGTTTAGCGTCCTCTGTGACGGGAACTCGATAGCGGGTTCGCGGGTTTGAAATCGGGAGAAGGACCGATGGGTCGGTCGGTCACCGTCAAGGGGCAAAATGGAGACGATCCGGGACTTTGACCGGTGTGGCGTTAACTCGCCCTCGAATTCGAAATCCCTCGAAAGTAAGAAAATTCGGGACGGGGTTCTCATCCTCTCCCTAATTAGAGAGGTGCTTCGTTTCGCCTCTCTGGCTCCCCTCGCGCGCTCTTCCTCGGCGTCCTCTCGAATTAACCCAGAAACCAGCAGACTGTGGTGGAATCGGTCCGCTACTTGGTCTACGCCGCCCCTTGCGGTAATTACCGAGTGCTCGGTGGCCGCGAGGGGGCGAGGGGGGGCGAGGAATCGGGGATCGTTCGGGTCGCGCGCCTTCGATTCCGCCCTCGGGCCCCCGAAGCCTAGAGGGCCCGTTAAGAAGGAGAGCGGCTCGACCGCGCCGAAAGCACGAGGGCGGCGGCCGTTATCGCCGGGAAGGTAATTAAAATGGCAGGTTGCGGAGAGATATTAAAGCGTCGGAGAGGGCCGAGCGAGTGGCGGGGGCCCTTATCAGCGGGCCGTTATCGCTCCCGTTGGCCCACCTCGGCACTCGGCACTCGGCGCGGCCCCGCGGAGTTCGGGATGTTTGCGCGATGCCTCATAACGAGCCCTCCCGTCCACGGGGACGACGCGGCCGCCAATACGACGCCGGCCTACCTGTCCGTCCGCGTCGCTATGGCGACTGCCTCTCCTCCGCCTCTCCTCCGCCTCTCCCCGGGTCTTTCGAGGAACGTTGACCTACCGCCGCGTCCGAGTTATCTTTATCCGGCGGTCGGCCGGTCCCCGGAACCGGCGACGCGCCTCGGCCCGGCAGCCCCTTATCGATTCCTGGAGGCGTCCTCGCGGTTTCCGGTCGCGCTCCTCCGAGACGTCGACCTTGGCCGGGCGGAGCCGGTTTCCTCGCCCGCGGCCTTGACCGGAGTCGACCCGCCGCCCCGACGGACTCGAGTCGCTTCGTCTCCGTGCGGTTTTCCCGAAATTGATCATTGGCGCGTCGGGTCGGACTCTCTCGAGTGGATCCAGGGCATTGTCTGGTCGGCGACGACGCAGACTCCTCACCTCGCTCTGCTTGCTTTCCAGGTTCGTGGATCGGGGAAACGGCGCGGCCGACCCTGCGACTTCCTTACCGGCCGACGATCGATGCAGCTCCGGAACTCGCTCGCCCTAAGGAAGAGTTCCGAGAGGTGGTGAGGTAAAAAATTAGCTCGTCATCGGGGCGGTTTTGCGGCTTAGCCAGCGGATTCGAGGCGCCCTCTTGACCCTTGCGACCCTCCGCGGGCCTCGTCCTTCGACCGGCGGGGCGGGAGGGGGACGGATAAAGACGGCTTTACGACGCGCTCTTCGCTCTTCCCGCCCCGTTCCCGGGCATCGAGGGATTTAGTCGGGCGTTATAACGCCGACCCTCTCGCGTGCCCGATGTCGGAGGCTTTTCGGTTCACCGAAAGTTCTCCCGGCGATGGGACGTCCCTTCCCGCTCCCCTTTTTCCTTCGGGTTCGGTTTCTTGTCTCTGCTCTCGTTTACGCGTCGAGTCCTTGTAAAGTTCCCGTATCGTTGGAATCTCTTCGTGGTACCGTGCGAGGACCGAGTATCGTCGTTTCGACCTTTTGCCGGAGGCGCGTTCCATCGCCATCTCTCCGTCTCGTTTTCTTATTCCGACCTTTCGGCGCGATATCGTCCCCGTCCGTCGCACGGTCGCGTCGAGAGATAAAAACCCAGAGCGTCGAGGAGCGCGAGGGGAGCGCGAGGGGAGCGCGAGGGGAGCGCAGTAGCGGGGAACGACGACAGAGAGCGCCACCGGCGGAACGTGCGCACCACGCCGACCTAACCTCCCACTCTGCCGAGGTATTTCGCCTCGGGCCGCGACGAACCCAATTGGCGAGCGTTCGGTGGCCCGAGGAAGAGTCGGTTTTCCCATCGAGAGCGGCCACGTGGCCCGCCCGAGGGATCGTCGCGTCGCCGAGGCAGCTCCAGCTCCAGCTCCAGCGGCGGACGGCGAGGGAGGGCTCCGGCCCGGTCTGGTCGGACTCCGCGGGGACAGGTTAGGGCGTCCGACGCCAGTTCTGCCCGGCCCCGCCGATACCCCAGGTGAGTACGCACCTTTGGATCGACGGTTTCCGCCGCTGCGTTCCTCGAAATCGCGAGGTGACGCAACGTCGCGTCGTCGCCATTTTGACGTTGGCGCGTTAGCCTCGAGGAGGCTCGAAATCGGGCGGGCGGTCGTTCGTTCGAGGTGTTTGCCATCCGAGGACGTCGGAAGGGCGGGGAACCGATACCGCCGTCCGACGACCCACGAGCAAATCGCGTTTCGTGGGAGTCGGTAAGCGTCACCTTCGGATTGAGAGTCACTGAGGAACTCATTGAAACGCGAACATGGCCCCGCGTACTCGTCCTTTATGGGCCTCGCATTAAATTGAGATTAATGCAAATCAACGCGGCGGCGTGCCAGCTACGCACAACGTGTTCCTCGTCGAAATCGTGACTCGACGCGGAAACCGTTTCCGTTGCGACCTTAGGAGCTGCGGCAGTCTCGAGCGCGCGAGGTGTCGCCTAGGTAGTCGCGGGGGTAATCGCGTTCCGGGAACGGAGAAGTCGTCTCGCGGCGGGCGAACGGATGGAAAAGGAAGCGACGCCACGGATCGGCTTTACGAGCCTCGTTAGAATTTGCGCCGATACTCGCGATTTACGTCGCGCAATAACTAGCCAGCGGACCGTACCAAGGATAATCGTTGAATTATCGTCGACGTGGACGACGGTATTGGTCGCTTCTGGCACGGAACCGACGTCATCGGGCCGACCTGCAGCTGTGCGGAATCCGGCTCGAGGTCCGTTTTTCGATCGCGCGATCGACCGGCCTCGCGTAAGCTATATCGACGAAAAGAACTCTTCTCTTTGCGTCGAGTCGAGCGAGGAGGGTCCCCCGATGGGCGAGCGTTTCGTCATCGTTGACTCGGGCGAATCTTATCTGCGAGTTTATTTATTCTCCGCCACGTGTTCTCGACTCTGCCATGAAAACTGCCCCTACGAACAACGCTCTTCTGCCTTCGAGGAGCGATAACGAGAGCGCTCTCTCGCAACCGATAAATCGCCGAAACGCGTGCCCACAGTCCCTTATCATTCTCTCGTCCGGTGTTAATGTTTTAGACGACTGGACGGAGAACTGATAAGGGCCGGGGGGTTACGGATCCACCGTGGGACGTGTCCATTAGATTAGGTGCGCGTCTACTGGGATCTAAAATCTAGAATCTAAATACTCGCTGGTTGCCCACCTTTGACCACTGTATTGCTTCGGTTACTCGTTAACCGATAAGGGGAGATGTACACGGCATTGCTATCGAGCGAATTGTGAATAAGTAGGCGTAGTGGAATAGTTGGTTACCGAGCGCTCGTCCGTCGATTGGACGTATGCATGAAACGGGTCCGTTGTATAATGATTACGGTTGCGAAGTTGTGTTCGAAACAGCGAACAACATCCGTTGCATCGATGTACTTCTAGCGGAGCCCTGGTTGCGAGCGTGAAATACATTTGTTTGCGGGGTGAATCTCCGGTTGGTATTCTTCGTCGTTTAACGCTAAGGCATTTGTTTTCATCTAGGTTACGATATCAGCTCTCTTATTGTTCCCCCTCCCTTCGGACAGAGAAACAAATTGTAAAAACGATTACTTCCTTTGTCAACGTCCGTTGTCGTTGAGTACCGACTGGTGTCGCGATATCACTCGACTTGCCTACATTCTAATAAAGAACGGTTGCACGAGAAATGACTTGTAAGTATCAAAAATAGGTATGACTCTTCTACTTAATTATGTGAATATGACACAAATATAGGGTAAATTGATAAAGCCGTGGCACTCGCATCCTGCGATTAGAAATGTGTCGGTATCGGCCAGTCGGGTGAGATGATCCAGCGGTCTTTGAGATCCAACTTTGGCATTTTTTTACATTCTGCTTCTAGTTTTTCAAGTTGTACATTCTGATTTAAAGCAAGGCTCGGTTTGTGCATTCCGTCTGGACGTCGAATCATTAATTTTCTCCCGATTATTTTCTACCGTTAAAATTTGCTTCGCATTATTTCTCTTTTTGACGAAATGTCCCACTTCTACCAACTTGACGACTGGCGTAGAATCGACAGTTCTTGTCCGGTGTAATGCACTTTGGGTTTCGTGTTTTGTCTTTGGCAGTATCGCGGAAGTTTTCGTAGTGGCTAATGACGGCTTTCTTTTAGAAAGAATTGGCACTTCTGATAATAAGGTACTTCTTTTTAAAGGGACGCTTCCTGTAGCCACTGGAAATGCTGAGATTGTCTCTGCTCCCAATGGAATTACTTTCGATCCTATTAAAATTCCATTTCCTGAAATGAAGATATGTAATTATTAACTATCGTTTAATAGCATCCGTATGTGATATCGTCTCCCTCTGCTCGCAATAATTAAAAAAAGATTAAAGTGCGTCTCAACCTACGTGATGTAAATAATTTAAATGATCTAATTTGGCATATTTAAAGCGCTGTATACTTTCTTAACGTAAGAAGGCATTAGAATGTATGTCTCGTTGTTTTCCTAGCTCGAAGTCGGTAACTAAAACTTTTGATAGAGCACAACCTTTTTCCATGGCTTTGGTAACCGGACACTCCTTATGTGCAAGAAGCAAGACTTTAAGCTTGGAAACTTCGGCTCTTAAAGCTCGAACCTCCATTTGCAGAGCAGCATTGGTTTCGTTAACATTAGAAACTGTCCTTTCGAGTTGTTGAATCCAAGCCTTCCTTTTGGCTCTTGCACGCATTGAACTTGCTCGGTTACGTTCTAAAAGTTCTTGCTTTTTGTGTCGATCGATGCTTCTGGTCCTTCTCTCTTTAGGAACCATCAATTGCTCTCCCTCAAACTCTTCGGATGTCTTGTCACTTTCAATTCTGGAGGATTTAGCTAGCATCTGCTTCAGTTTCTACAAAATTATTCAGATTTCAATATTTTCTTTATATCGTACCTTTATATAGTATTTGATCGACGCGATTAACCAATCTAAAGAACTGGACTATTTTGTGATCTTAAGACAAAGTAAAAATCAGATATTTCTAACTTCTGCAATTCTTGAGTATACGTTATAACTAGAAAGTAATACAAAAAATGTACGAATAAAGCACTTATGCAAAAAGAAGTATTTCTATCCTAGAATTTTAATAGTTAATCCCATTCAGAATAAAAATTCAATAATCATTTTACCATTTTGGCAAGAGTTAGTCTGGGATCGTGAGTCTCATTCTCTTTGGTTTTCGATATACTTCTCAAAGAGGGCTCGGTTTTGATTACGACAATTTGAGGTTTCAATTTTGGAATGACACTTCTTTGTTGAATCTGTGATTCAGGAACTTGAATAGCTGAGAGTTGCATAAATTTCCCGTCTGCAGTTTTTAACAACAACTGCACTTCCTCGCCGTTTATAGATCTACAAAATAATTAATACGATACAATAACTGTATGCAAATTCGTATTGCAAAACGAATACCTTACAACTTACAACTGAGGCGTACGAGCTTCTTGGACATCCCTTGATCTTGTTAGGGTGTTTTGTTCATGAATCACTATGGTTTCGGAAATTCGTTTGACTTCTGTAGAGGATGTTAAAATGGTAATGTCTTTTGACATTTGTTCGGTGGTTTGATGTATCTTGGTATCGGTTCGTGTTTCAACGGAACATTTCGTTTCACTAGTTTTTTTATCAGAAGCAGAGACGAGATCGTCAGAAAGTGCTTGAACTCCCAATGCATCTGACATGCGAGGGAATACATGTGGAGTATGTAAAGTGTCATCGGATGTTGCTACCTGAAGTATGGAATGGTAAATTTAATCATTACAGGATATACAGAATAAATTCAAAGGTACGTCGAGCCAAGTTCTTATCGTTTACCTCAGATACCGCAAATGGTCCGGTCTTTCCAGTCTCGACAGCTCTGCGGAAGGTTTCTTCGAATGGATTGACATTTTGCAAGTCTTGAAAAAGGCCTACCTCTTCGCAGTTTCGAATGAACCTTGTAGGAGTTGGGGTTTGATCCGCTATAAGATAACCTAGGTTTTAACGAAATGCTAACTTGTCGCTCGAATTAAAAGGAGTAATCTTACCTACAAAGGCATTGTTCCTATTGCTTACACCAAGGTTTAAAATCATGTCGTGCTTCTTCTTATGAACCATAAGATGATCCTCGTTGGTGAAACTCTACGTGTAATTGTCAGAAAATATGGAGAATTCCTTTAGGAAAGCGTAAGGTGTCCGGTCTCTAAATATTTCTAAATGTAATAACCCGAATTAAGGAAATAAAATTGCCAAGAAACGTTCTAACCTTAATGCATGTCGAAGTAATTAAAATTTGAATCGTACAAGAATATACACTACATTGACACAAGCAATTTTAAGGAACGTACGCATCAATAAAATACATTTGAATTTGATATGGTTTCTAGATTAAGGGCATATATCACTCGAAGTCTGGGATGAAATCATTGAGAAATATACAGCGCAGTGCAAATTTAAAGTAGGCCGTTACCATGTTACAACCCAAACAGGGACAAGCAAAAGGCTTATCGGAGTCGCCCATTTTCTTCAGAAGTATTGCAGTACCGTGACAAGGTTCCACATCGTTGGAAATACAAAATAGAACTTAAAACGTTTCCTCGAGAGGAAGATGTAACGATTTAAGGTCATATCAGCTTTTTTTAATCAAGTCACACGTAGTAATTTTTGGAAGCAAACATCATGACCGGGTTCTCACTTCGCGGAGCTCGCCAATTTTCTACTCGTCAGAGACGTTCTACTTCGAGTTCCAGTTGACATCGATAGCGCAACCATGAGCGCAACGGCATACGCGATCCTTTACAGAGATGAGTTGGGAGATTGCTCACGGAAGGGATCGTGCAGTCGCATCCTGTGCTGCCCTCTGGTTTCGTACGTTAGCTTTCACCGTTTTTTGCCCCCAAGGGCGGCGCAACGAATTTCTGATATTGAGCTCGCGCACTCGCGATAACGGTACCATCTACCAGTGACCGTTGGCGGCTCACGTACTCGTGACGGTAAT